GTGTGTCTGTGTGTGTTCCAGCATAACTCTGGAACACCTTGAGCAATTTCAACCAAACTTGGTACACAGATGACTTACTCTCTGGAAAAAAATACTGTGAAGCCATTACCATGGCAACTCCACTGCACTGTACAGTAGAATCCATTTTACGGTAGTACGGTGGAAGCCATTTTAAGGTACAACAGTCTGTATCTTAACAGAACACACACCCTGAGGAGTATTAGGGGTGTCTTACCCCCACAGTATTTTTTTCCAGAGAGTAAGTCATCTGTGTACCAAGTTTGGTTGAAATTGCTCAAGGTGTTCCAGAGTTATGCTGGAACACACACACACATACGCACAACATTACTAGAAACAAGCATCGGGGGAGAAAAACAATCAGAAAAACCAAGCTTGTTCTCACCATCAACTCCCGTTCTTTGATGAATGGCCTCCACATCTTTCAGGGATTTCACATCGCCGTTAGCTACTACCGGTACCGAGACGGTGTCTTTAATTGTCTTAATTGCATCGTAGTGCACCGGCTGATGCCTTTCTTCTACGCTTCTCCCATGGACACTGATCCAGGATACGCCAGCTGACTCTGCCTTTTGGCACAGGTCTACAGTTCTCTTTAGATCCCCATGGATCCTTTAGTTCCATGCGGGAGAGGAAAAAAATGGTAAGCCAGCAGGTGAAAATATTTTCTTAGCGTGATAATATAGTGAAGAATTAAGAACGGGGAGGGGGAGAGGGGGAGAAATTATAGATGATATATATGTACTGGTAGTTCTATGCCCACTGCCAGGAGTTCGATCCTGACCGACTTAAGGTTGAGTCAGCCTCCCATCCTTCTGCGGTAGGTAAAATGAGGACCCAGATAGTTGGGGGCAATACGCTGACTCTGTAAACCATTTAGAGGGGGCTGTAAAAGCACTATGAAGCAGTATATAAGTCTAAGGGTTATTACTATTCCTCCCTCCCTCCCTCCCTCCCTCCCTTCCTTCCTTCCTTCCGTCCTCCCTCCCTCATTCTCCTTCCTGGTGGCACAAAGGTTAGAATGCAACATTACAGGCTGACTCTGCCCAGTGCCAGCAGTTCGATCCTGACTGGCTCAAGGTTGACTCAGCCTTCCATCCTTCTGCTGTCGGTAAAATGAGGACCCAGATTGTTGAGGGGTAATGAGCTGACATTTGTAAACCACTCAGAGAGGGCTGTGAGCGCTATGAAGCGGTGTATAAGTGCTACTTATGCTATTGCGGTATTATTCCTGAGTAATACAAATGCCTTGATTTTTCACTAAATCATATGGTTACGAATTAAAGACCGCTTTTTAATGGATAAATTTGCAATATCTTCTTATGTAGCCAATAAATAAAGTACATGTTATTTATTTTTTCTGCTGTCCACCACATCTATAAGGCAATTCACACACATACTGTGTTTTCCTGAAAATAAGACAAGAGTATGTTTTTTTTTGACCCCCGAAATAAGCGCTTGGCCTTATTTTCGGGGAGGTCTTATTATTTTTGAGGTGCAGGAGGTGGTGAGCGTGGTCACCTCATGGCTGCTGCTGTGTTGCAATACTTTCAGGGAGAGTTTATTTTTGGGGAGGGCTTATTTTAACACATGCGCTCAAAAGTCCGATTGGGCTTATTATCCAGGGAGGTCTTATTTTCAGAGAAACAGGGTATATATATCTATATCTATAAAGGACTTACCGTATCTTAATAGATACTGAAAATGTGGGTTTTTTCACTTGATTTCTTACTGATCTCACCATCTCTTGTATCAGTTGTGGTCTGTTTATTAAGCAAGCACCATAGCCTTCTGCCATGGCCCACCTAGAAGAAAACAATAGAGGACCCCCGTTTACATACCTATTGTGACCATGGACCACCAAGACTTAACCCAAGATTTAAATCCTAACATTTCTTCAAGCCTTTAAGATTAAGATTTAAGATTTAGTTTATTTGTATGCCGCCCTTCTCCGGGAGGGACTCAGGGCGGCGAACAACTCAAA